ATGTTTTGAAGGCGATACACGAGGTTGGCCATAGGGTTAGTAGTGACGCCACAGATGATGACTTCGGCTTATCACACCATTGTTTCAACGGAATAAGCCAAAAGGAATCAGATCCAACCACTTGGTATGTCGATCTTTGTTAGTGACACGGGTGGATACGAGGAGAAGAGTTACCGAGCCATAGAGCACGGCTCGGCAGTCGAGCGCCAGTCGCTCTCGAGATTGACTTGAGCAAGCATTGAGAGAGGTTCGCTCCTATCCTTACTGTAAAGTCCATGTTTTTCTTCTTGTTTCGCCGAATGAGCCACCTCGTCGCCCGAATCTACCTCTCGCTTCCGTCGAAATGTAGGGTCAATATCTCGAGATGATCGAGCAAGGTTGACTCGCCAATGGTACGCATTAATAGGGTTCTTCTGATCAAGATTGATGTCGAAGAATTTGTTACCTCTGCCCGCGAGGGCTCGAGGACGTCGTAGGTAGGATTCCTCGCGAGGCTGCGCGAGGCTGCGCTATGTGACGTCACTACGGAGATATATTCTTCCGACTTGCTGCTCCCGACATCCCGGTAATTAAAGTCAAACTGCTGGTAAGTGTGCTCTTCTGTGTAATCAGCCATTCCTAGCCTAACCGCTCTTCCCGTCATATTAACCCCGCCCCTTGCCTCTGGTTGATGATCACAATCCCAGCGGAAGCGGACACCATCAGCGAACCGGTCTTCGAACTTAACCTCCTGATGTGTCGGACCAAAATTACCGATGGGCTGCCGGCCTCCACCGCCCTTGTTGGTCTTATCGGTGTTTCCGGCCTTACAAGCGATGGATACGGTTTGAAGAGATACTGGCCTTAGAGTGGCGAGTACAATCCATGGTATCCCACGCCCGAAAAGTTACCCAGGAGGTATTGCAAGTGTTAACACCAAGTAAGGAGTAAGAAGACGGACTGTGGGGGAGTGGACAGCGACCACGTTGGTATCGGTATTATGGGCGACGTAAGAACGGGAGGATACGTCCATGCCGGTGTTGCCTTCGACAAAGCAGCAAGAAACCCAGCGTCACCTCCGAGTCCCCGGCACGTCCCCGTGCAACCCCTTTTTGCAAACAAAACCAAAACTCCAGCACCATTAGCCTGGAGCATTTTCTGTGGCATTTCTTCCGGCAAGGATCTCTCGCCTCGCCATCGCGGCCGCAATGGTCGCGGCGTCGTCCGGGGACGCGACCTCACGCACCTCGGCGACGACTTCTCCATCCACACTCACTGTGCAGCGGTACAACTTGCCCACCGCGGGGCCATACCTGTCGACTTCAGTGACGTATTTGATGGATGCGGGCGCCCCGACAAGACGAGCGAGGGCCGCCCTCGGGTGTTCGGTGTCGACGGGCTGCGCACACACGCGCCGCAGGTAGTCCCAGATGCCGAGCCGCTCCAGGAAGCGCTCGCACGGCTCTAGCTCGCCGTGCGAGTCGACGAAGATGGCGCCGATGACACTTTCGATGATGTCGGAGAGGAATTTCTCCGGCCTCAGCCGCGCGAGCTCGGCCCA